ATGTAATGCAACTTATAGGTGTTATTTATAGTCTCCAGTGTGATTTAATGGAGAGCCTCCTGAGGCAAAGAAGCAACTGATGGGATGTGAGTTCTATAGAGACTGCTCCCATGTGGTCTCTCTATTCCACATTGTTTAGGGACATTGAGTTTTAGTGCAGTTTCTTTTAAACTCTATGGAGGGGAAAAAAATAAATCGGTGAAATAATAATGCTAAGGGCTCTGCAGTGATACTAGAAAAGAGATTGTGTGGTTAAATATTACCGAAGGGCTTATATAAGATATTTTTGACATATCTGTCTGTAGTGTTTAAAAAAAACTGAGGTGAATTCACAAAAGAAATACATTTCTTATGAGTGTGAGTGCTTGCAAAGAGGTGCACAGCCTTGAGATGCAGTCACAATTGTGTGAGAAGACAAGATAAGATGTTCATTTCAATTAAATATCAGAGTTTCAGAATTATGTTTTCCACAGCCCTGTACAGCAATAGGGAGGGACTGAGGCGGTCACAGTTGTCAGACTTGGCTTATGAGGTGTTAATCTTGAATTTCTGTTTTTGCATTAACAGTCAACAAGCAAAAGGGGTTTGGAACAACTATGTTAATTTTAGATTCATTTGAACAAGAGAGATTATTTTAAATGATGATTCTGGTAAATATGATAGGGAAGATTTGTTTAGAGGCAGTTTTCTCCAGATGAAATTTTTAATGCATAATCAACATGCCAGGCAGTTAAGTAATCCCTCATCTCAGAACAGAATAATGAATTTAAAAAAAAAAAACAAACAGCTAGAAATTGGCAACAAGCTATTGCTCAAATTTTAGTTAATTTATGTTACATAGTTATTGTCTGCAGCTATGCAGGTTTCTCCATGGACCGAGGTTTTAACAGCTTAAGCTACTTCGAAAATAGTTTCAGGGGAGATGGCAGTAATGTTTGAGGGTTCATTAAAGACTGCTTGTTCTGGTGTTTGCACAGCTGAGATCATAAATGCCAGTCTGTGTGATAGGTTCTTTATGATAAGAAAAAAAACTGACTGAGTGCCTCAAAAACTGTCATGAAACTGGAGATTAAACAGATTCATCTTCTTGAAAAAAGCAGTAGCAGAGGAGACATACTCTTTTTCTTGCTATTTTCCCAGCTCTTCCATCCTTCCCCTTTCTCAGTTAATTTTTGTGAGTCCAGGTCTCTGTTGGGCCTAGAGCATCTCACCCTCCCCCCAAATGCCTTGGAGGAGCCATCATGAGTGTAACTGAAGCCATCTGCATGCAGCCTGCAAACTCCTTCAAGGATGGAGAGTAAGGAAGTGGAATTCAGCTCAGGCACCTTTTTTTTTTTTTTTTTTTTTTTTTTTTGAGGGGAGAACATGAGTAATGAAGATGAGAACAGTGACAGTGAGGAGCAAATGTGAGTCTCTGTCCATGACATAATAGTTTTAAGAACGCTGCTCTGCTTGTTGATTCCAGACAAGCCTTCAGTTTCAGCCTTGCCTAACTGAACTTCTCTGTCCTCTCATTTCAAATGGGAGTTTGATACACAAGTAAAAGGATCTCCACCATCAGATACCAGCTAGAAGAATCTTTGTTTCTTAACTCAGAATCAAAATTGCAGTGGGAGTGTGTCAATGGCAGTTACTCTGCTGAGCCATTTCTTCCTGAAATTTTGGGGATTTCTCATCCTTGTTGTTCATTTTTACAGAGAAGTTTTATGATTTTCGACATCTGTGAGTAAAAGAAGAATATTCTGGTTTCTCTCTCAGACTGTGTTGGTTTAGGTGCAATACTAAAATGCAAGTTGAGCATGGAAAATGCTTCTCAAAGCAAAGGAAGAAGTAACTGTTGTTGAATGAACTAACTGAGAAAAGCCACTGTCAGTCACTGGCTGAGAGAATCCTCTTCTCTGTAGCCTTTTTTTGGTTGTTTAAAGGTTCATACTGGGAATTTACTCTTGATTCTAGTTGCACCACTTCAGCCTGTGTTCCTAGGGTTTTTTTTCAGTTACCCCAGGTAATAAAGCTATATATAACAGTTTCATTTTGCTATCAGATCTTTAAGGTTGCAAGATTCCAGGTGCTGGAAGATGTATTTTGTGTCCTGTATTGCATGTGTCTGTATCACGAGAAGCAATGTGATCTGGGAGAAATGCATGCAGAACTGACTCTAAAAGGTCTAATTTCTGCTCTGTACTTTCTCCTTGCTTGCTGTATTTGCCCATGGGGAGATGGAAGTGTGTATGCTGTGGGTCTGGTTTGTGATGAGTATTAGCTTGGACTCCTGTGTTCAAGGCCCTGGGCAATCAGTGATCAGAGAGATGATGCTGTCCCTGAGAGCCAGGGTTTACCTCAGTGCTGAGTTTTAGTTTATGGCAGAAAGGTACACATTATAAAAAATGAGGTATCTGTAATTTCTGTGATAATGACCAACTGATGTTAATATTCAGTTAGTCATTACCAATTAACAGAAAGTGTATGATTACGTATTTTTATTTGTTAGACTACTGGACTGACTTGAGGTAGCTATTTTTCTCATTAAGGCATATGATTTCATTAAGTCATTAGAGACTGGTTGAATCACCCCATGAATCCCTTATTTGGACTTCAGGATCAGCAGACCATTATGGTTTTCATCAGCATAATTTGGAATACCAAATTGGCTTCTGAGAACTACCAGAATGGCTTAGATTTCCAGAAGCAAAGATGTGTGGGAGGCAGATGTTCCATAATGGCAGTGTATCTGTTTCTTTGAGTAGTGAATAAACTGCAAATTATGTAGATTTCCATCTGGGGTAGCAAGGTGGGCTGGAGCAGGTTTCACTGAATGCTGAGTCAGCCAGGACAGAATCTGGAATCTTCCTGTTGGAGGGGGTGTCCTTATGCACTCAAGGCTAGCCTGCTGCTCTAGGCACTCTGAAAACAAGTGTCCATGGGACAGGACTGTTGGCCTTGGAGTATGAGTTGGGATCTCCGTTCAGGGAGTCAGGCAGTCTGTTCAGAGGTTCTTTCACTTGAACTGTTTTCTCCAGAGATTTTAGACAGGACTAGTTGTTCCATAGTTATATTAATGCATTATGCACTACTTTCTTTTCCTTGCCAAGGCTCCTGCACAGCCAAGCTTGCAGAGGTGGAGTGCATTATGTACTGAATGTTAGTTTAGGCCTAATATATGTATTTTGTAAGGTGTAAATTGTAATCTGTGACACTGATCAAAAAGGTGGCTGTCTTGAGGCACACATCAGATAAAATCATTGCAGCTTAATAAAAACTTATCACCTGTATGCAGTGCAGAAAGCAATTCACTCTTCTATGAAATGTGAGATATAGAGGCTTTATACTTGTTGTAAAGCCAGGCACATTTTCAGCATATCTCGAGAACAGTATGACAGAAATAAAGTAGGCCCCAGTGAGGCAAGGTGTGTATTTGTAATGGCTGTAACAGTGGGGTGCAACAGCTGGAAAAACACTGTGACACAAGGGCTGAAACACAGGTAAGAAATGTGAATTAATCTGTATTGCATGTGAGGAACCAGGAGAAGTCAACAGAGCATCCCCAAAGGGAGAAGCTACCAGGTGTTCCAAGTCTGACTCCTTTAGGTGTTTGCTCAAGTGAAGTCATGATGTTGATAAGCAGTGGCTCAGGTAAGATAGCTGACATAACAAGGTTATGGACAGTGTTGTATCCATGGCAGTTACCTTTTCCTCCCTAATCCAGGACAGCACAAAGCAGATACAGGCAATGGAATCTTAGAATAATGGTACAGACATGTTCAATAGGTTACTATCCTGCCAAAAAGATGGATTTAGCCTGTTATTTGTTGGATTAATGTTGGTTCAAAAGGGATTTAACTCAGCTAATGGGCTTTTTTTTTCCTTGCTCACCGTCATGCAATAGAATACTGACTGATTGCAGTAATGTCTTTCAGCAGCTCCTTGCAGCAGTACAACAAATAATTTAATTTTTAGTACAGTTGGGATTAGATTTATTTGCAGTTCTTTTTACAAAGAAGTACAGCACTGATTTTCCTGTGTACAGATCTGAGAAAGGAAAATGTCTTTTCTGACCTGACTTGGATTGCAGAGGAGCAGATCCCCTGAAATGTCATGTCTCTGACATGCCACAAAAACAAGGCTTGGGCATCTCACAGTTCAGTCAGTAATGGGCATTCTGTGTGCTACTCTAGAACTCTTGTCAGTACACTCTCCACTGTAAAAAAACAAAAAAAGAAAGACTGAAAAAAAAAGGGCACTATGCTACCTGAAGTAAGACTGTTGTAAACTTTTGCTTCTAAAGGCTTTCCACACACCATTTTCTTACAAGCTGGAATTTATGAAGTTATTAATGCAAATAGTATTCTGACTAATACTTTAGAAATGGCTGAGCATTTGAAATTTATAGGATGTATGTACAGATCATGCTTATTTTGTTTGGGGTTGTATTGTTGGCGTACGCTAATTTACATTTAAATTGTTATCCATGTGGAAAGAGAGGGAAGCACGGTATGGTGCTTTCATGTACTGCCTTCAGTCATGGGAGATACAATTTACATGCTGTGCTTGAAAAATCCCCGTCCTGCCCAGGGAGGAAATAGGTCAAACCTGTGCTCAGGTGTTCTTCATCACTTCAGTCAGTTTGTGTGGGGACACTGAAGGCAGCACACAGGAGAAAATAAATGAGATGACAGATGAAGCCTGCAATTGTTTAGGATGGTGTGTGCTCTACGTGTATCTCTGTATGACCCAGCCAAGGCTGGAAGGAAGCTAATCAGTTCATTTTATATTCAGTATTGACAGCAGGAGGGGTTCTTATAGGGAACAAAGATAATTTGTCCTTTACTTGATGCTCATTTTGGTTGTTAAGAAAACATACATATGCAATAGAGTGGGAGGTATCACACTGCTAGTTGGTGACCCCAGCTGAAAGCAATATACCTTCAATCTGCCTGAAGGGTTGCCTCAGTGAGGAGATGCTAATACTTTTCCTAAAATATTTGTTGTGAATACAACAGATTCACAGTCGGAGAGTGAGGCTTCTCCTGTGAAACGGCCACGGCTACTGGATGACAGTAATGACAGGCCTGAAGAAACCAGTCGATCCAAACAGAAGAGTAGACGTCGATGCTTCCAGTGCCAAACAAAACTGGAACTAGTACAGCAGGAGCTGGGATCATGTCGCTGTGGTGAGTACTGTTTGTCAGTAGTGTCCAGCTTTCAATTGCAACCGTGCTCAGATCTGTGTCACGCATGGAAATACACAGAACACTTGTGTTTTTCACCTTGCAAAGATGCTTTAAACAGAAGCTTCAGCTTCCACTGGCAGCAAAAAGTTATAATTAGTTCCTAATTTCCCCTTCAAAACTTCGGCCTTGATGTACTGCCTTGTCTCAAGAGATGCGAGATATTAATGAATATAGCTTCAGAAGTCCCTGTAAGGCAGGAAGGGCATCATACCCATTTGACAGGAGAAGAAGCACAGAACACATCAATAAATATGCAAAGATAAGAAGGTTTCTATAGGGTGTAAAGGAACATAGGTCAGTATCTGCTTCTGGATGTTATAATTACATTAATACTAAAAGCTAAAATCCAAAAACCCCCTCTAACTGAAAATATTTTCATTGTCACATTTAGTTTGTGGGGGGAAGACTGTTCATCATACACTTAAAATCGTCTAACTTGGCTTTTCCAAAGCTGATGACACTGTTCAGGTAGTTGAATTGAGGATGATAATCCCATGCAGACAGCTAATTTGGGGTTTCATATTAAATGCAAATAATCTTTCTGAAACAATAATTAACGTGACTAGATTCCACAGGAGAGTCTCCTTCATGGAACAATTGTGTTCTTAACTGGTTTAAATGCGCTTGTTAGACCCAGTGATAATGCATTTCGTAGTTTTACCTGCTAATTATTTTTTCATATAGTCATGTATTGAAGGTTGCATTGAACTCTCTGACAATGCTTGTATTGATACATTTGGAGAAGTTTGTTTCAATTACGCCAATGTGTTTCTGGCAGGGGATAATTTCCAAGGGATCTGCACATTTCACAGGTGCAATTGACCTGTGAAATATAAAACCTTGTGTTAAAACCATTTTAAAAATCTTGTGTTAAAACCATTTTCTGGAGAGAAGGCATGTCCTGAGCAGCAGTGTGGTGAGGAAGGGTGTAGCTAAAGCAGCTACAAAGACAGTTAATCCTATGCTAAATACCAAATGCCGGGTGAAGAGAAGTGACAAAAAGCTGCAAAGATTTCGTGCTATGCTTTGTCCTTCCTCTTCTTTGTGTCTGTCTTCAGGCTGTAGAGATTACTGTTGTGTTGGGCTCTTTTGGACATGAGATAGGCTTTGTTTCGATATTGGATCACTGGCACAGAACTAATATACATTATCTGTGAAGCCACCAAACATGAAATCAAAAGCTATAATGTTGAAATTCTTGTTATGGAAATCACGTGTCAGGATACTTTGAAGTGTCTGGTAACATTTTTATCAAACTGAAGAAATCCAGGGCTATCAATGACACATTTTGGTCTGGCTCTTTCAGCTCAGCATGGTGGAGGCAGGAATTTCTGCTCTTGGTCTGCTCTTTTCAGGTATACAACAACTCAGGCTGCTCACGGGTACCTGACTGAAATAGCAGAATGGTCCATAAGATTGGGAGCAAGAGAGTTTGAATTTCAGGGTGGATTGAATAAATGATTACTTAAACATTATGTAACATCATTAATCTTCCCTGCATTCTGCAATACTGGAGCTATGTAAGAGCAATTAAGTTGAAAGCAACTTTTAAAAAGCCCTTTTCTTGGTCAGTAATGCTTTTAAAATTACGAAATAAGACCTGCCTTTTTTTTCCTGTAAACCGGATTACAGATATATTTGGTTGGTTCCTCTTAAGTTTTCATGAAGTATTTTCATAATTCAAGACTATTGCAATATAAATGTTGTAGGAATTATTCTTTAATTTTCTTCTACTGGATATATATAGCTTTATGGAAATATTTCTGTTAAAGTTCATAAAATGTGTTAATAAAACATGAGTGTGAAAAAAGTTCTGAATTCCTCAGCAGTAAGTGAGGAGATGAAAATTTGCATTCCTGTATTACATCCTATACAGTTTATAGTTTGTATTATAAACATTTCTATTCCATACTTTTAATGAGAAAATAGAAGGCAGGAGTCTTTCCACGTGTGCAACAAGGCTGAAAAAACTTGAGATCTTTGGTTTCTCTGCAGTTAAAATGTTACATTAATACTGTGTGCAGTAAGGGTGTGTTACCTGTGCTCTGATGTGATGTGACTGTGGGCATACCCTATGCCACTTACATTTACGAGTCAGTAATAAAAGCAAGCAAAATGCTGCCACTGAGCAACACAGGACACCTCAGCTTCCCATCACCCAAACTGCTTTACCAATAATCAGCAACATGTGGCTCTGGTCAGTTTTAAAGATGCTGCCTGAGAAACCATTCTTGCTAGCTTGCCCTGCTGTCTGTAAAATTAGGTTGCTTTAGGTCATGAATGACAAGGTCATTCAAAAACCCTGGGAGGAAGTGATGGAAATGCAGTAAAACAAATCTGTAAAATTCTCATTTGTTTAAAAAATTTCCTCAGTCTGCACATGAGTGGGTTATCCTTCTCTGTCCTAATGTGAAGCACAGGTGTGTGGTCAGGTGGACAAGAATCAACTAGTGTAAAACAAGCATGTACACTCTTCAAATGTAATGGTCAACAGAGAACATTGTTTGATCTGAGCTTTGAACAACTGCTGTTAAATTCTTGGTGTCTTAATCCTGAATTGAAGCAATGGGAAAAAATCGGGAAAACCCCTCCCAGTTTTAAACAGTAAGAGAAAAACTGATATCAAGATCAATAAAAAGGCAGACACTATCTTCAGAATGACAAATGTATAGGTTTGCTTGGATGGAAGGAAAAAGGATTTAAAGCATAAAAATGTTGATCCAAAGCTGTGTCTGAAACAGTCTTGTTAAAATCCAAATTAACTCTATCCACAGACCAACAATTTAATTGTTTTCAGTTGCACATCTTCTTGTCCTAACGCTAAAAGTACTGGAAATCATCTTGCTTTTTGATGATTTGTTCAGGTGAATCCTCCAGTGAGATTTTTAGTGAGACATAGTGGAAAGGAAAATACATACATACTGAACAGTGTTTTAATGTAGACATATCTGCAAATACTGATCCACTGAACTGGGACTTGTCCAACAAGGCACAGCTTTTTTGGAAAGGAGACAGAGAGAGTGACTGGTGCTTTACACTGGCTCAGAGGTCTTTGGGAGGCTGCTGTATTAGCTCTCTTGTAAGCCCTATCCAGAGAGAGGTGATGCTGCTGAGCTCATTCCCTTGACACTACATGGAATTTTAGACAGATTTGACAGTGCTGCAGGGCTTTGCTGTGAAGAACAACAATTCACTACTGAGAAGGGAGTTCCAGCAATTCAAACACAACGTTTTTCAGATGTAGAAAGATTTGTTTGTTTTCATACAC